GGGGGGTTTATAGGAAATCCTTCACCAGTTTTCTAAAGTGAGCAGGTGAGGGACTCACACCCAAACATATCACTCTCGGATAAAATGAGCCTGACAAAACCCGGTGTGCTGATGCTGCTGTGGCTGGTGAGGGTACTCCGAGTCTGCCATGGTTGGCACCGGGGTATCAACCCGCCCAACAGCCCGGCAAACCCCTGTTATGCAGTGTCCCGTGTGAGAACACAAGTTTGGCGAGATATTCAAGGGTCGTCTGATACAAGGCGACCCGCGGCAAGATGCTCGAGATAGTCCCTATGCACACTCCCTCTCACCACAATGGATACCCTGTGATAACTGTTGGTACATGGAGGGTGGATGTGAGTCAAATCATCCAAGGTAATATCACACGTCAGGAGGGCTGGGTGAACATCGCTTTCGAAGTAATGTGATGATTATGACCACGCATTGGTATATGGAGGCGGCCCGGTCCAACCCCCAGTCTTAATGTATGTTCTGATAGGTTGGCGGTTATTTGCGGAAGACCTCCAGGTTGCCACTAGGCATCGGTGGTCAAGCATAGGGCTGAGACGGTGGGAGGGCCTATCCGTTGGGGTGGGTGGAGACGCTGTTTTCTAGAACAAACCGGGTTTCCGCTCGTCGTTCCATCTGGTCTTGCAAAGGCTATTGGACATGACCCAGCTGGACAGGAATTAGCATACCAGCATAATAAGCGCGATTACCGACCACCCCCAAAAAGGAAGCGCGCAGCTGCGGATTGGCTCGTTGGCCGCCCAAGACCCGACGTGCGCAACTTGTTGGCGGGGCGTGGCGAACGATTGGAGAAAGAAGCGATATGATAACGGCAGCAGCGTTTCATTTGCCCTGTCCTCGCTGCCTGGCACGGTGGGTGCGTTGATGCACGCCGATGCAGCAGCCTTGCGACGACACCTGCCACATCCAAGTCTGTGACACCAGCAGTCCAGACAGCGGACAAGCGTCGATTTCGGCGCATCCCGAGCCTTGGCCGGGAGAGAGACGGGGCGCCCCTAACCTGGTCAGGGTGGCTGGACGGCTTGGTCTATGAGTCCTGGTCGCGGCGACTTCGCGCAGATGTACCGTGAGGAGACATGGTACCACGCGACATGGCTAGCGAGTACGTTGGCGGCGATGAGTATGCCTCGGCCCGAAGCAACAGGGTCCTCAAGGTGCATCGATGTTGTGTCACCCGGCGATCGGCCGGGACTGACGAAGAGTACTGGCCACTGATGATAGGTGGGATGCCGTTATGTGGGTTGCCATATCGTACCCAACAGTCTGGGACGACGGAGGCTGCGCAGGCAGCATAGCCTGCGACTGCAGCCAAAACAGCGACATGAGGCCCTCCTGCAAGAACGAGATTGGCCTGTGGTTGGATGAAGCCTTCAACATGCCTGCATGTCGCAGCAACAGTAACGGTGTGATTGCAAAGATGCACACTTTGCACACAAGCAGCAGGTCTACGATGCCTGGAGGCTGCCCAGTTACATCGGTAGGCAGACGCGCGGGTGGCACAGCGGGGGTGGCTGAAAAGGCTGAAGGGTCCCCGGGGCACATGCGCTGGTCAACCGGCTCGGTCGAAAACGGCCCACAAGCGCGCCGCGGCTATCACCTATGTGCAGGACATCTGGCGGCCGGAGTCGGGGACCACCAGACCACAAACATCGGGCAGCGAGGCGGACCGCGGCAACGGGTTTGGCGGCCGTGGCTGAGGCCGCCACTCGAGAGCACCCGGTCTTGGGCCCCCGACGCCGCCAGCCACCTAGGCAGGAGCGGCCGGGTGGGTGGTGCGTGGCTGGGCAGTGGGTGCGGCCGCGCAGAGCGGTCGCAGAAGGGCTGTGGCCAGCGTCCATTGCCCGGGATGGTGCACTGCAGGGGATGGATGGAGAAGTGGGCTCGCAGCACGGCCGGGCCAAGCACGGCCGCTCCAGGAACCAACAGGCGCCCCTTTGCCAGATGCCGCGATGCGACCGCTCGCGAAAGCTAGACATGCTAGGAATGCCAGGCCCGAGGCAACGGCAGGGTCGGCGGCGGAGCGGGAGCGATCGCCCGAATGAGCCATCAGGGCACCTCCGTAGGCTGAGAGGCCGGCATGGCCGGTGACCTGGCAGGCATGGCCACGGAGAACCAAAACGCGGCCTCGGGATTAAAAGAGCAGCAAAGGAGTCGGTCCCAACGCTTCTGGGGCTGCAGTGTGGCGCAGCCTACATACAGGCTCTGACCGTCACCTGCAGAGACTGGTTGACAGCAGGCGCGGAGCACGGGGAGGCTGAGCGGAGGGGGAGAGTGGAAAGAGAAAAAGTCAAGGAAACTGGGGACGGCTCGATTGGGGACGGCTCGACTGGGGACGGCTCGACTACCGCGCGCGGGTGTTGGTCGAGATGAAGCTCGAATCGACGAGCACAAGGCAGGCACATGATCGCGACAGCCGTCAATCTTGAATCGCGCTTGAGCGCTTGGAGTCTGGCTATGATTGGCTGCGATTCGAGCGGGGCCGGTAATGCGCACCTATCCCAGGCCAGAATTGCCAGAATCCCAACGTTGTGCCCCCAAACATCGAATTGAGACTTGATGTTGCTTTGTGCTACATACAACGGCCATCCCCTTTGGAAGCTTATGTTGCCTCTGCTGAAGTTCTCCTGCTGGGCCGTTTTGCCCATCGGCACACACCACCGAGGAGGCGATGCGTCAAAAGAGACCCCACCTGGCACGCGTTGGGCAGCACGGTTCCATTCAGGAAACAACATGGCCGCTCACATTCCGCTTGGTACATCGTGAATCACCTCACTGTCTCGTTGTAACCAACTCCCCGACCTCACTCTGCCTACCTAATTGTCGCCTAGCCACCCCAGCAGTCGGCTCGCCCGACCCTCGGTCTGTTTAATGCCAGGGGTTTGCGTTGCCGCACAGAGACAGCAATACGCACCACTTACAGCCATGATGCCACCTTCCGGGGGAGCTTCTTGTAAGAGATCTGCCTGGGCCAAGCTCAGTGTCGAGGAGAGCCGTTTGACCCAGCTCCCTTCATCACCTCGGCCCTGTCCGACGCCTTTCGTCATATCTACACCGGCCGGCCTGTCGAGGTACTATCTACCTACCTACCTCGGCAGAGTTACTTAGGTAGTTACCTAAAGGGCACGCCGGTGGCAACAGCGTCTCAACTCGGGCCAAATTAGTTGGGGTCCGGCAGCACAGCACAAGACTACCAGGTAGCTAAGGCTTATGAAGGGACGTCGGTCCCGCCGACCCTTTATCCTAAAAAGGTCCATACATGCGACCGTTGTCGATGCATCCCTACCTGCATACCTGCGTAACCTACCAGTTTAGTCCGCACTAGTAAGTAGCAGCTTATACTGCTTCTCCCTTCCACCCCCCATATCGTCCATTTTGAGTCGGCCTAGGGCCGACAACATACAAGCCCCGATTGTACGGCCCCCCACTGCGCCAACGAAATCTCGTGCATGTCGCACGGGTCAATAGGCAGGTAGGGTAGCAGGGGGGGTGTGCATGGAATAATGCTCAGTGCTCCTTGGCTCACACCCAGGGGTCCCCCCCTGGAGGTTGTCGACATGCCGGCTTCCTGGCCCAGAGCCCCACTGAGCACAAGCCTTCGACTCTTCATCACCTTTTATTCTTTTTTCTTTCTTCGCTGTTCTCCCTCCCCCTCTCTTCTTTGGTCGCCTCGAGGCCGATGTCGGGTGGGGGTTCGCACTCCTCGGTCGGGTTTACACGAGCAAGAAAGGGAGGCACTCAAGAGGCTGACTAGAGAGTTGCGCCTGCTGTTCATTGTCGACCTGGTCGATCAAAGGAAAGGGTGGTTCCTTGTCGTCACACGAGCTCGCGCCTGTGCTCTCTCGTGCAAGGCAGCTGCGGGGAAACAGAGGTAATTTCAGAATCTTGACGTATCTGTGCGACGGTCGGCCTTGGTACCGGCAAGATGCAATTGTCGTTCAACGACGAAGACTGCATGGAGGCTCGCACTGATGCCAGGGGCAGTACTGGGCTGGGCTTGCTCGCAAATCGGATCACGGCCCTCGCTACGCCAAGGGTTTTTTTTTTTGGGGTTGCAAAAGCCAGAGAAAAGTCCCGCGCAACAACACGCAGCCGAAAGAAGGTTGAACCTTGCCAGATGTCTCCATTTGGCGGCTCCCACAGGCAATTTTCATTTCAAGGCTTGTGGATATTTCTATGACCGTCTGCAGCCGAGGGAACCGGTGGGGATTGTATTGAGGAGAGTGGGAACGGCATGGAAACCACCTGAGCTAGGCTGGCCGAGGACATTGAACTCCATGTCCCATCGCCATGGCCGAATCCAACTCCTGGTCTGTTCTCTGTTCCTCTTATTTCACAGGGCCTTTCCGTGCCGACATTTTACCCACCCCTTCTGCCCTAGGTACACCAACGGACCCGACAGTCCTCAAGCTTGTCACCTCACCCCAACTGCCTATCCCACCCCTCCCTACTTCTAACGCGACAACGCTTGTGGATTACACTCGACCCGATCGCGCTACCCACGCTACCGCGCCTTGCAATCTGTTGCCAACAGACAGCCTAGCCTACCCACCTAGGTACCTACTACCTACGCACGCAAGGGGATATGGGGTCGGCCAGGCTTAGCAGTTTGTCATTGTCGTATCTCCGCTGCGACACTTCCTGGTGCCACGTCAACTCCCCCATGCCCCCTCTCCCCACGAACATCCCTCATGGTCCATTGCGGCCGTCAGGGAGTCGAGCAGAGCAAGAGTATGAGAGCGTCATGGAGAGGGATGGAGACGCGAGGAGATCTCCCTACCCTAGCCCAGGACTTTACCCCAGTGGATTGGTCAGGAGAACTACACGTTTGGGCTTCGACTAGGTCGATTTATTTTTGATTTTTGCTGAATATTCCGACGGAACATGTCTTGCGAGGCATGCGTGCACTTATGCGGCTGCTCCTCTGCTGCCGATGCAGTGCGAGGCAGACTGGGCCCCGTCCGGCCGAGATTCCCGACCTTTGACATCCACCCTTTCACTCACCCACCCTGACCTAAAGCTAGGTCGCCTACCCCGGGCCCCGAGACAGGGTCATGGGTGCCATTATCCCATCTTGTTCTCCCCCTGGATAATATCCACCACCTTGGTTTGAATGGCACCACCCAAACAGCCTTGCTTGCTGCACGTCTCTCACTCTATCTAATTTTCTCGCAGATCCGGGGAGGGTTGCTGCAACCCATAGAGGCGGTATGCCTTCTCCACACACGCCTACTGTCAGTGTTGGCCGCATTCCCAGGTAGTCATAGGGCTATGTGTGGCCGCTAACGGCACCCTCCCTTGAGGCGCAACACACCGGCGCCGGCCCCTGGGAGCCAGGCACACCCCCCTCCCTCCCCTCTTTTCCAACCAACCGCAAGCCCAACCACGAGCCCCTCAAGAGGGGATGGCTGTATATGCCCAGTCTCCATATCCCGTGTCTGTTATCCACGAGCACCAACTGCCCGTCGGCAGTCGCCGGGATTGCTCACCGATGGAGCAAGAGGCTCCCTTGGGAGGTTGGCAACATACCATCTCTTCTTCTCAGGCAAGCAATTCAGACACACACACACACTCACTCGCTCACTCACTCACACACTCACACACACATCCTCAAATACATTTGTGTTGCGCAGATGATGCATGTATATATATCGTTACCCTCCTCACTCCCATCGCAGTTGCTTTTTGTCATCCCATCCTCAGCATCACCAGCCTACCGCCCTCACAGCATCTACCCAAGTGTCTATCAGCTTCACCAACTCCCAAAAAGCCAGTCGAAAGTCCGGGAGCCCAGACGCTCCGGAAGACCAGCACGGCAAACCCCATCAACCGCGCGCGCTTTGACTCCTCGAAAATGCCTCGGACGCGGTACATCATTACTTACACCCTCTGCGGTTGCGTTCGCGAGATGGAGCGCGAGTCCTCGGAGAACCAATGGGTTCAGGAGACCATCGACGCCTACTGCGGATACCCGGACTGCCCAAGAGGTTCGCAGAGCCACTACAGCAGCAGCTATCACGACAGCTATGGCAGTTATGGAGGCGGCAGCAGCAGCAGCGGCAGCAGGCGCAGTAGGCGCTACTAAACGACCGTCCCATTCGCGTTTTGGTGAGCTCCGCGCCAGCCTCTCCGAAATATCCATGCTCGCTACGAGAGGAGCAGGCACTGACATTTGCCTATTTCCCCTCTTCTAGGTACCTACTACCTACCACATGTATAGACCTGAAAACGAGCAATCGTCGTTGTACTCGGCACCCATCTAACCACCATGACCATGGTCGCCGAAAGTTCCTCACGCTTTTCTTCGTCTCTTTTTTTTATATCCTGTCTTTCTCTTCTTCTTGTCCCTTTGGCCCATCGCCCACCTTGGTGCCACCAATCCTATGTTTCTTTCTCTCCTTCAATGTCAATTTTTATGCCATTTGGCTGTTGTTCATATTACTTCCTTTCCATTCGCCCACTTTCACTGTTTACTAGAGATTCATTTTCAGCTTTCTTTCTGTTGCGCTTGCGGCTTTTCCCCCTGTCGCTTGTTTTAGAGATTATTTGATTCCTTGTTTCTTGTTGTCAATCCGGTACGTCCGTGCTTCTACAGGGGAACCGGTGACGTTACCACCCATGCCTGGTTCACCTTTTCTCCTTCTTTTCATGTAACTTCTTCCATAGGCAGCAGTCGAATCATCCTCATGCCGTACACAATTGAGCATTGTTCTCTCTTTGTATACCATATACCTGCCGAGTTTTGGCCCATGGTTCCAGAGCCGCGTGCCATCCAACGTCGCGAGCCGAGCGACCACTCGTCTCCCACGTTGCTTCAAGGCAGTGTGGATGGACCAAGGCAGGACTAGGCACCGCCGTGTCTTGCCTTGGGCAAGGCCACAAGGTCGCATCCGCAGTGGTGTGTGGGCTTGGCGGTGATTCTGTGAGTGGCAGGGGTAGTGCGGACGGGGGTGGCAGCACAGATGTCAGCCGGCCGACAGAAGCTGGCTTTGATTTGGTCGACAAAAGCC